CACACACACACACACACACACACACATATAATTGAAGCTGCATAAATATAATTAAAAAATTTAATTTGCCTAAAATTAATTAATTTTATTATAAATTAGCTAATAAATAATTAATATTTTAATTAATTAAACTAACACCACTTGTTAAATATTTCAAGAGCAATTAAAATTTTTAACTACAAACAATTACACTTAAATTAATAACTAACTAAATAAATATTATTAAAAACATAATTAATTACATTAATTCTTACCTAAATATTTAAATAAAAATAATTAAAATTAATTTAATAACCAACAAACAACAATTACTTATAAAAAATATATATTTAAAACAAACTAATAATATATCAATAAATAATAAAACAACAATAATTAACAATTAAATTTTCTAAATTCCAACAATTAAACTAACTAATAATTAAAAAAATTAATAATTAACAATAATAACACAATTAACAACAATAATTACATTAACAATTAACTAATAAACAATAAACAACAACAATTAATAATTAAATTTCATAAATTCAACAATAACACAATAATTAACAACAACAATAACATTAACTAATTAATAAATAATAAACAACAACATTAACCATTAATTAACAATAATAATTGATCACAATTAAAAAAATTAACATAAAATTAAATAATTCCAATAAATAAATAAAATGAATAAACTTGTCACCAACAAGGAGGAGGAGATGATGTGCGGTGAGGGAGTTGCGGCCGGTGGTGTCGTCGAAAAAAGGGAGGTGGAGGAAAGGGGGATAAAGAAAAAGGAAAGAGAGGAAAAAAAAAGAGAAAGATAGAGGGGGAAGAGGAAAATAAGAAAAAGGAGGAGATTGAGAAGGAGATTTGAAAGAAAATAAGGGAGAGGGGAAGATTTGAAGCAAAATCAAAGTAGAGTGTCTCGACTGGAAAGAAGAAGAAGGAAGGGAGAAAGAAAAAGTTTTGGGGGAAAATTCATTCCAACATGTATATAGGAATTTAAAGTTTTAATAATAATCTAAAAACCATCGCTAATTTTTTGTTACATTTCAAATATGATCGTTTCCCCCAAAGTATCATGACTATCCAATTTTCTAGAAGGATTAATTAATTCATAATTACCTTTCACGAGCATGGTTATCCTAAAATTCAGTTCTCATGTCAACTTATCATAGTATGATCTCAAACTTGGTTATTAGTCTTATTTGATCATGATCACACAAGTTTTCTTCGATTCATAACTGTCTTAGCTCTTAGAGTAAACCAACTATAATCTATTGGTGTACTCCTACTATGGTCATATATTTCTTGAGCGAGACATTTATCGAAGTGCAATGTGATAACTCTTTTAGCATACAGGGAATGACATGTCCTATCTTAGTCATCTACCTACCTCCATTAGATTTCTAGTGCATCTAACAAATCATTCACGTGCAACCTTTTACTAGGTCCATCAAAACGAGTATCAAAGTATAGAAATTCTCTTATGAGATAATCGTGATGACTTTAAGTCTAGGGACTAATCGTACCTATCTCGTATGAGATTCTCATAGACTAAACCAAATGAGTTCTCATAGTCATGGTGAGTCAAGTTTAATGATGTATTCTCTAACATAAATTACCTAAGTGGTTGCTTTAGCATCATCATGCCAATAGGTGTGAGATTTCCTACTTGTTATTATATAGCATGAGCATAGCACTCACAAGTCTAACTGCATATAGTCAATGTATATTTTTAACAATGCTACGACTTAGGACATTTGATGATATCATTTATATGCATTAATGTTTATCTTATATCTTTTGATCAACCACCAATGCAAATGCATATCATAAGGACTTCTATCTAGTTCTACTCAATAAATAAACATAAAACATAAGAATTAATAGAAAGACTTCTTTATTATTAATAAAATAAATGATGCAATAATACAATAACTCAAACATATCCAAACATGGTTAGATCTTTGGCACCTACCCTAACAATGGCTATAAGACGAGAAGGATGGGACTTTGTACCAATTATGAACATTTCAGTGCTATCATTGAAAAAGTTGTCTATATTTTCAATGATGAGCTACTTAGCAAGTTATAGCCACAAGACTGAGATTGATACCTTGAGTCTTGGGTATCTTGAAATCAAAATCTAAGACACTTCACTAAGTGATTCTTTCATGGTTGTTTCAACCTCTCTAGTTGAATCACATATTTATGGTAGATGCTTGTTTGGGCTTCTTAATGGAATTTACCAAGTTGAGGTTTTAGTGTTTTCACGGTGATGCAATGATAAGATGTGGGAAATGATTGTCCGATAAATTGCTAATCCTATCAATATGGAACATTTTTTTATGTTTAGAGACATATTTTTCATTTGGAGATGAGAAGTATATATATGCAAAAAATTACTAAGTAATGATATAAGAGAAAAAAAGCCAAAGATTTTACCTCAACAAATTAACGGTGGGAACCCCACCTAGCAAGTAATAAGAATATCATCATATCATGAAGTGGTGGAATTAGGGTTTTGGTTGATTTGCACGACCTAAGCATTTTGATGGCAGGAAATATCTTGGTATTTGGTTATTTATCGAGAAAGCATGAGATTAGTTGGGAATTGAAATGACGAGTTCGTTCAACTGCGGTGGAGAAATTTAAAATAACTATCCGTTTCGGGTATGTAAGAGGTGGATTCAGTCCGAAATTTTAGAATTCTCGGTATGCCTTTGTTTTGCATAAACTATTATATGCAAAGACATTTTCTTGTGTTTGTTTTATGCATAACGTTTTATAGGAAATTGGTAAAAAAAAAAAAAATTATAATTAACATATAAACTAAATTAATTTATTTAAAAATGATTTTAAATCATGAAATTTCATAAAATATTTACGGACAATAGTAGCTTATAATATTTTTCAATTATTTCCACTCGTCATAATTTTTTTTTATATAAAATGTTTTTTATACATGTAAAATATTTTCTTAAAACAAATGCCCCCGTACACGGTTTTTAGTATAAGAGCCCATTTAATATGTACTCGGCTCATGCATAAAATGGTTTTTTCTTCTTCTTCTTCTTTTTTAGCCCAGCCCAATAGGTAAAAAAAAAAAAAAGTGAAAACGGAATTCACGATGAACATACCAAAAGTCATCCGGTAACCCAAATTTTGAAGCACTCCATTCCAAGTACCAATAATAGTTTCTTTACCGTAAACTAGCAAAACGTATAACCTATTTTTTTCTCCTGTTTTATTATTATTTTTTTATCCCAAGGGTATTATAACCATTGTTGTTCGATCGGATATACAATGTAAATATAATTATCTAAATTTGTTTTAAGTATATAAAGATTTGAATTCGAAACTATTTATTTAAAAGATTAGAACTCTTTTTGCTTAAGTCAATCCTTTTAAATAATAAATAACCTATTTTAATTATTTAGGTAATTACATGAATTTGAAAAATCTTAATTGCATAAGGATTTTAGAAATCTTACGGGTTTCGGATTGACCTTGTCGACAATATAAAACTTGTAGGATTAGAATAAGACATGTGTATCTCCTACAAATATATAAATGATGTGATTTTCAATATATGTATGTATTTGCAATCCCTAACAACTCTAACACGAATGGACCATCATCCCTAATCCCAATCATTGGGTTCTTCTCAAAACCCTATCTTACGTGCAAGACAATTTTGCATCCTCGGCTTTTGTTTATTGAAAAAAGAATCTAGGCTGATCTTTGATACTTGAACTTGAGTCTAAAGTCCGGTTGCTTGTATTATGATCCAATGTGCCCGCAACACAACTCCAACCCCCCAACACACACAAACAAACGCACGCACGCACTCGAGTGTGAAGGTCTTTGTTCTATGAATTCATGCATCGACCCTCAAATAAAAAATATTGCATAAAGTCACAAAATATTGTTGCAAACAATTATAGGAAGATTTGAAAGATTGAAATTCCTGTAAAGATTGAGAAAGGTGACCGTAGTTATGCAACTCGTTTTTAGTTTCTTCAAGGATTATGTGGATTCCCATAATCTTTCACCATGGTGGAATTGTTGTGAAAAAAATGCCATTTCAAATGCACTACTCAAGATTCTTCCCCTATCTTTGCATGGATTTGTGCTTTGATAGCTTCGATGTCCAAGAATTAATAGTTGAAACCGGTCTTCGAGAGTTTTCACTAGCAAAACTTTGGTGATTTTGGGAATTAGTGGGATGTTTATACTAGATTTGCCTAGTATTTGTTTTTCATGCCTTTAAGACCCTCCGTCTTGCTCATGTTCTGCATGTGGATGATGTCTCGATGGGCAAGCTCTTTTTTAGTTGGCTTGCCCTTGAAGATTTAGCTATACCGAGAGAAGGATGGGATGCATGGTGTGCAAATTATGAAATTTCTAAGTCCTATAATAATAATAATGGAAACCGATGGCTATTTTGCCTTGAAATTTCATAAGTTTGAATTGTAGTAGATTTCTTCAAGATCTTCTTTACTAGGATTTCTCTCGGAACATTCAAGATTTGCTTGTTGAACTAAAGGCATGTCCAAGCTGATTGATTCCTTTCGACTTTCTAGAAACCCAACAAATTTCTTCAAGATTGTTATCAAAATGAATAGGTCAACAAATTCTACGTCAAATGTCATTATGATTACTCCCTCAATATTCTTGTAATTGAAACGATTGTCCGTAGTTTCCCTACCATAATGCAAGATCCATCTTAGGCTTCTAAGTACAAGACCGAGATTAATACTCCATTCCTTGAGTATCTTAAAATGAACAATAATTCATTATTGATCGATTCTTCCATGAGTTTGAAGCACGCATTACCGCCAATGCTCTTCTAGGTGTTTCAATAGAATCTCCCTAGTTAAGGTTTCACTATGTTTGCTAATGCTTGATTCACTCCTGGATAACTTTTTGTTTTTTCTTAACGTATTGAATTTAATCAATTGCTTTATGTCACCAAATGCTTAATTTTCTTCTTGCAGTCTCTATTTGTCGTTGTTCATGATTCCGCATTGCCCACATCCCGTCATCCGACGAAGCGGGTCCATATATATGTCGGTGATAATCGGTTCATCGACTCGGAATTCTTCGCCGAACTTGCTCATGAACTCGTCATAATTTGAAATTCTTATTTTTCAGAAATAAGTGGATTCAATTTCATTTTAAGCCCAAAACACTAAGAGTACGGTTATCGATATATGATGCATGTTTTGGTATTTTTCCTCTACGGAGAGTAATTAGTGTTACTACATTAAATGGATGGGATTTCGGTGACTTTAATTGGCAATGGCCGATTGAGGAAACTCGGTGTTTGCTTCTAGTCCGAAGACGATTGTGCTCAACAACTTTTTGGGAATCCTAGCCGAGGAATATTTTGTAGAATATTTGCTGGAGTGCGCAAAAGTTTTGGAGAGGATGTCAAATTCAAAATCGCATGAATTTTACTCATGTGAGGAAAGGGAATGGATTCTGCAGTTTGATAGGAACGGAATTCGGAATTGTGTTGATCCTTGTTAGAGGACACTCGAATTTTTAAAATCTTCATCCTTGGATTGACCTATACATCGGTGATAAGGTGATTGGCCCTATGCGATCGGCTTTATTTTTCAAATCTCATAATACTCTGCTTAAGCCCTAATGCATATAGTTCTCACTAGTGCATTTTCTTTTACGGTTTCAATCAACAAATTCGACAAAACCTAACGAGTCAACACTTTCTCATCTCCGAGTATTGCATTTATCTAAACGTGTTTGAAAAGTTATTGCAATTAGGGATGATCATTCGGTTTTTTTTTTTGTTTTTTTTTTCGGTTAACCGAATTGATTAAAATCAAAAACGAAACCAATTAAGCCGAATTGGGATTTGGTTTTTTTATTAAAAAACCAAATTTTTCGATTTGGTTTTTTACTTTTCGGTTAAAAATTATTTTTTTATCTTTTCTTCGAATTTTGAATTTTTTTCTTGAACTGTTGCTTGCTTTTTTAATACAATTAGATAAGCAATAAATCCAATCTAATCGTGCAACAAAGGGTAAGAAAATATCGTTCCCATGAGGAATTAAATTGCACTACTAAAATTATATAACTTAAAATAAGTTGAATTAATCAAAACAATAAAAAGAATAAAAATTAAATTAGAACTTTATTCTAAATTTACGGAATTGAAAATCACTAATAAAATGTTATGAAAGCGACTCGGGATAGATTCATTTAATTCTAACTTATACAATTAATTTTATTATCTTAACTCACAAATCACCTTAAAATTTATCTTAATATATGTGACGACGGAATTCCTCGAACAAGTTAATAAGCTATCTCTAGTCGGATTAACCATATTCTTCATTTAACAAATCATACATATTTTTATGTGACTTAAATTAAGATCTAAATGCATTAGAATCAATGGAATCCTCTAATGTAAAATAAGCATACCATCACACATTTCTTTTTTCCATTATTGCACTAGAATAAGTTATCTTTCGATTAATAGTAAACTAGTGATTTATATGATTATAATCTAACACATACAATTCCCTCTCGGACTCAAGCATATGTCATTAAATCAATAAGAGGTGATCACTTTCTTAAGATATTAAATGCACTAATATAAATTCATCATACATCAAGAATCGGGTTTTGAATTGAGAAAAATAATTAATCACGTAGAATAAGAATTAAAATCATCAATTCCTAACTTAAGAGTTTACCTCAACAGAAAAAAATTTACTAGATCTAAAAATAAGATATTACATTGACAATCCATCAAATAATAATAAAAAGAAAATCAATTACTTGTCTAATGTATCTGCTATTCCTTCCCCCTCTACCGTCCCAGTTTGCTCTCTGGCGACCTGTGCTTTATTTTGCTCTTTGCTGCCTCAAGCCGTGCCAGTTGCCCTGTGAACATACAAACCTTTTGTTGGTTTTTCTTTATGCTTATTAGTGTCGTCCCTTCCTTTTACCATGGCTATAACTGTTTCTTTTATAGTCATAGACTCCTTTGGCTAGTCCACCACGTCACTTTCCCTTTTTTGTGTACACTGTCGTGCCTAAAGTCCACCTTATCATGCTATTTCCTTTATAGCTAGCCTCTCCTTTCCTTAGTCCAGCACGTAAGTCTCCTCATGAATTGATTTTTTAAAGTGTCAAGTCAAATATGTTTTTCTTTTTACTCTTTAATTCTTGTTTTTAATTTTTACTTTCATTCCAGCCCTTATTTTTACCTTATTTCTTTAATCTTTCCTCTGCTCTTTATATCTATAATTTATATCAAATAAAACATAAATCATATATATAATTAATAAATTCAAATTCAAAGTTTATATAAAATATACGTATAAATTATACTTATCATGAGCCAAGCTAAAAAGTTATTTTTTTTATAAAACAAAAAAAAATTTTGATTTTCAAAAAATATTAATAATTTGATTTGAAATTTTAACAAAGAGAATCATAATAAAATATTATGAGCTTTGGGTAAACGTGTTAAAAAAATATATATATATACTAAAACGTGTTTGAAAAGTTCCTACAATCCACAGGCAGATTCAGAACTTGCAAGTGTTTCTCTATAAAATGCTATTACATCACACGACTATGCATTTAATTGAACTGTTTCAACGTGCTTTAAATGATAAATTTATATCAAATAATCCAATAGATTTGAATCTGTGAACTCCATTCTAAGAATGCTGTATATAAAGACAATGAAGTTCACATACGTGGCCGAAAATTTCTGTATTCTGAAAGTAGAAAATTTCAGCAAGGCAATATTTTTATAGTAACAGAATAGAGAAGGCATATCAAGAATATATGATTAATCCATAAATACAATATTATTGTTAATCGTTTTCAGTGGCCTTGATAAGGGTGACGATAGCTAAGGAATCAGAATCAGTTTCTAACCCTGCCTACATTCAACTTGGAACCTTTCTCCCAAGCACGTCATGAATCAAAGCCATTCATTTGCGGTTGTGCTCCCCTAAGATGCAATCAAAGCTCCTTCTGTGTTGATCTTAATCCAGTCAAACATAGGAGCTAACAAGTCTCCTATAACGGATCAACAATTGATTTGATCTAGAAGGAAATTCATTTTCAAAGAGTTACCGTCAAACATGGATTTGTTGCCTTTTAGCTTTTGACCAAGTTTCCTTTTCCCATCATAAAATGACAACACCCCACTAGACATTAAGTTTCCAAGCAGCTAGAAATATCATATGTCTATTATATGACTTTAAAAGACTTTTTTGGTTTTTTTTTATTTTTATTTTTAATTTCAATCAAGTCATTTCAATTAAAAAAAATATTTATAATAAAAAAATTAATGAAAAAAAAATAAATTTAAACATTATTTAAAACCATAATATATAGAGTTATGTTGAAAGCGCAGAACATTACAAGAGAACAAGTTGAACTATTAGTGCAAAGCTCTAAGGCACAATATCCAACAACTATCATCACCCTTTTGGGTATCTTCACAGAGAGCTGTCAATTGCCATGTGTATAGACTATAGTGTGCCCAGGATTTCAATCGCCAGGATTGGAATTTTTGGAAGGCAATTTGAGGTTGCAGCTCGTGTTTGACAGACAGCAGTCAAGTTGCATTATTTCTACTCTATCAAAGACAATAAATCATGCATTTTGAAAAGGAACAAATTTTTTTTTCAGTCAGTTATGAGTTTACTTTGAATCCACTCTAAATGAATTCAACCCTGGCGCAAGATAATAGAACCACCTACTACCCACGAAGGTTCAAGCCAATTTACAATATCGGTCAAGCCTAAAAGACGACAAATTCCAACCATAATGCTGGCAATATAAGGCTTGCTGTGATCTCAAGTTTGGTGCAACAAGTTATTCCAAACTCTCTCTACCTATCATACTTCTTTTTTTTTCTTGAATATTCTTCTTTACTGTTAGTCTTATTCCTAGTTCGATGGAGAGAAGAGAAATCACCGAAAAGGAGGCAGAGCAGATAGATGTTGAATCCCAAGAGTTGGTCCAAAACCTGCCAACAGAAATAGGCATGGGAGGTAATATTCTCTATCAATACCAAGGATTCTGGTGTCCAAAAGTATCAATTAAGGGCATGATGTTGTTTCAACACCACTTCAAAGCACAAAAAACTGACATCATCCTTGCTAGCATTCCAAAATCAGGTACCACTTGGTTAAAGGCCTTGGCTTATACTGTAGTCAATCGCTCTCATTACTCACTTGAAGAGAGCCCTTTGTTTACCAACGGCCCTCATGGGGTTGTACCCTTTCTCGAGTTTGATTTCAGCTCCAAAAACCAGTTTCAGGAACTAGACAAGCTTGCCAAGCCTAGAATTTTTGGAACTCACTCACCTTACTTGGCACTGCCCCGTTCAGTCAAAGAATCTGCTACTAAAATCGTGTATGTGTGTCGGAATCCTTTAGACATGTTCATTTCCTATTGGAAATTTAGTGGCAATATTCGAAAGGAAAATGAGAAACATGTTTCACTGGAAGATGCTTTTGACAAGTTTTGTCAAGGAGTTCATGGCTATGGTCCGTTTTGGGATCATTTGTTAGGGTATTGGAAGGCAAGCATAGAGACACCTGATAAGGTCTTGTTTCTTAAATACGAGGACATGAAAAAGAACAATGTCTTTCACATTAAGAAGCTGGCTGATTTTCTGGGGTTTCCTTTTTCTGTGGATGAAGAGAAGCAAGGTTTGATCGAAGAAATATCGAAGCTATGCAGCTTTGAAAGCATGGAAAACTATGAAGCAACCAAGAGTGGCACAGGCCCTCTTGGAATTCCAGCTAGTGCCTTCCTCAGGAAAGGAAAGGTGGGAGATTCACTGAATTATCTAACACCTTCAATGGTGGGCCGTGTGGAAAATCTTATTCAAGAGAAGCTGCAAGTTTCTGGTTTGAGTTTCTGTATGTCTGATAAACTCCAAAATGGTGCTTGAGCTTTTGTCCTTTTTTATCTTTTGAGTTCATATCGTAGCATTTATAAGGTCATGGCTGTAATGATCTTTAAACGATGTTTTGAAAAACAGCGTAGTATGGAAGATGAAAGAACTGAAATAAGAGGAGAGAGAGTCAAACTAATGATTTCTTTTTTGTTGTTTGGATATGCATGGAAGGAACCCGTAGAGAAAATGAAAGAAGTCCTTCACTCAAAGAACTTCTATATATATTTTCGGACTAAAGGATCTAACCATCATGAATTTCAAGTCATTTGAAGTTTGAATATTGAATGTTTTTATTAGTTTGTAAGATTTTTAAATTTTTAATTTTTTATCATTTATTTCAAAAAAATAATGCTCACATAAATAATTTTATAATAAAAATCATCTAATAAGATTTATGTGGACGTACTCAAAAAATTTAAGCTCATTTTAGAGTTATTTTTTATTTTTCTGATTTTCTATAATTTTAATATTTAATAAATAAATAAATAAATATAGTTTTCGATTTTGAAAAATTCTGAAATTTATCTATAAAATGGATTGAATTTTTTAAAATTTATATGAAAAATTTCAGATCAAAATATCAAAAATTAAACTTTTTATAGAAAAAATGATAACTTAAAATAATTAAATAGACTAAATCTAAAAAAATTAAAAATTTAAGAATATCCAAAACCAATAAAAAATTTAAACAAATGACTTAAAATTTAGAAAAAATTCAGGAATGTAGCCTATATTTTAAACTTTACACTGTACCAACACATTTCAAGGATTGTCCCAAGGGACCAAGAGACTGCTCCAGAAAATTATTCCCTAATAGTTTACATTAAAGAACGTTATCTAGAAAAAGATAAGAACACGTAAATAAAGAAATAAAGAAGCCGAAGAACGAATCATGCAAACAAATAGAAAAGATGAAGAAAGAAAGTTTCTGATTTACCCAGTAGGTGTAGAGTCTAATTTTTAATAATGAGAGGATAGATAGATAACGATGGAGGAGTAACCAATCATGCAGCCCATAAAATTTAATGGCAAAGCTTGTGTTAGTACAGCATACAGTGACAGTGGCGTTGAAGAAATGGACATTGGTGTTGTCTTTATGCGAGTGAGTGGGTTCTTTTGTGTTGATCATGATCACGTGTGCTATCATATATGGTCGGTTTGCAATGAATGATAAGTTTGCAATTATTTGGATTTTGATTGAGTTAATTATTAAGGAGGAAAAGAAAGACAGGGTTTTTATTTTTTTATTTTTTTTAATTGAAATATGATCGGATTTGTTAACGCAAAGATGGACTCGATTGTTAATTAAAAAAAAAAAAGAGTTTGGTATTCAAATTGAAAAAAATTAAAGGTTAGATATTAGTTTTTATTTGATCAAAAATTCATGATATTTTAAAACCAATTAATCATTTAGCAATATTCATAGATCTATTGAATTATATATTTGACAAACAAAATAAATTTTTGGATTGAAATAGTTTTATATTACTCTCAACACATCTATTTAAGTAAAAGTTTTTTTGATTTTGAAAAATTTCAAAATACATTGATCTATTGAATCATATATCTCATAAACAAAGCAAATTTTTAGATTGAAATAGTTTTATATTACTTTCAACACATCTATTTAAGTAAAAGTTTTTTTAACTTAAAATTTACACAAATCTACCACTACCTCGTGTTTAATTATTTAATTTTAATTTAAAAAAAAATGTGAAGGTTGTAAGATTCAAAAAAGAAGATAGAAGTTTTGATTTAAACTAGTAACTATTTCATAAGAGAATGTGAAGTGGTGAAATTCAAACTCCAAATCATTTGGTTATTAAAATTTTAATATTATGTCAAAAAAAATTTTAACTTTTGAATGAGATTTTTATAATAGTTTTATATTATTTTTTTAATATAAACCTTCACCCGCCACTAAAAAGGAAAGATAAATGACTGAAAATCTCATGCTTAAAAATCGAAGCTGGTCAAAGTACTAGTTCTCATCCATCATGTCCATTATTTACTCCAAACATCAAGGATTGGGAGATAGGATATAATTTTAAGTTTTTGAATTGAAGGATTTTTTTTTTTTCTATTGTCAAGGAATTTTGTACACTAATTTAAAGAAGCAATATTGATTTGTGTTTCCTATACAACGCAAAATGCTTAAGTAGAAAATTTCAAGGCAATATTTTTATTGTAACGAAACACTTTGTATGTATAACATCCTTTCTTCTCCATCTATTGTGATGCGGTGACGCCTATCTTCGATTGACGACTTTAAACCTAAGCACACGAGTACATAAAAAGAGAAACAATTACGTACTTTACACAAACACTCATATTGAGATGATGCCAATTGGGAATAAACAATGAATATTGATTTTAGACTCCGGTAATGTTAGGATTTTGCTTTCTTTGTATGATATTGAATCTCTTTGGCGGTAATTATGGATGAGAAACATGCATGATTGTTGAAAAATTTTAGATGCACACATAGCGAGTCACCATCTCTCCCACTATCTGCATGCATAACCTAATGAGTCACCATCGGTCATACGGCACACAAAGTACGGCAAAGGAGGGAAAAAAGAGAGAGAGAATCACCACGAGGAAACCACGGAATGCTAGTTTCTATCTAAGGTCATACATGGCTGTCTTCGATGAGTTGCTTCTTCCTCGAATGGCAAACAACGGTTGCGGTAGGAGTGCCGACAATATCATTAGCAACAAGGATGTATTTCGAATCATCCAAGCACCATTCTAAGCCTTGGATTTGGGATTCTCGTAGGTGAATATCTTGACAAGCCATTGAATTCCGAGCCACCCACTCCTCCAACTTGGCGATGAGTTAGAGATGTAGTTGGGCTAATCTTCCGGAGATTGGTAAAGAAGAGCAAGTCCTCGTTGTCAATCCCTCCTAAGGCATCCCAAATCTGCCATGGTTCTTGGTGACCATAAAGATCACAAAAAGGGACGAGTGGAATCGGTAAAGAGAGGAAAGCATTTGACCTTCTTGTAGAGATAATGGGTGACAAGATTACGGTCAAAAGGATGGAATGCGAAACCAATTGGAATCCCGGAAAAACCCACGGTGCTCTTGGATAATTCTTTATCCAAAGAACCCACAAAAACCATGGAAGAAGAAGAACAACCCATTGTTTTGTTCGATTATCAAGTGATAAAAAAAATACCGAAAACAAGAAAGAAAGAAACTTTTGGTTTGTATAAGGTAACAAGCCTAATAAGAGACGGAAAGAACCTCAATTTGAATCCGCAGGCAAACTCACCACTTTCAATTTGACTTGACGGAAAGAGTAATAAAATTCTAAAAGATGATGATGGTTGATAAAGACCCAAAAAAGAAATTGAGAGTATTAGACGGACGGAAATCAACCGAGAGAAATTCATCGAAGCCGAGAGAGCTCAAGATTAGAGGTTTCTTTAAATAAAAAGAGAAGGAAGGTAGGTTCTTGATTTTCCAACGATCTGGTTTAAAAAGAAAATGCTGAAAATGGTATTATCCAACGTAGTGTGAGTCTTTTTCTTCTCCAATGGTATTAGTTAAAAACAAAGACAATTCATGGATCGATTTGCGTGGATTACACGAAGCTAAATCGAGATGATTATCAAGTATCAATTTTTGATTCCTATCATTGAGGAACTTCTAGATGAATTACGAGGATCAATTATTTGTTCTAAACTTGACTTACGAGTAGGTTATCATCAAATCAAAATGTGTATTTCAAACATTCCTAAAATAGTTTTTCAAACACACAATGGTTAATATGAATACTTGGTTATGTCATTTGGTTTAACTACGAATGATATTTTTAGACCTTTTCTTTAAAAGTTCATTCTAATATATTTTTTTAATGATATTTTAATCTTTAGTAAAACTTTAAAAGAGCATGTTCATCATTTGAAAATTACATTAAGTGTGTTGAGATAAAAATTCATGTTTGCTAAATATTCTAAATACACCTTTGGTGCTCCAAATGTGGAATATTTAGGACATTTCATGTCTGCGAAGTCGAAGGGGTCCAAATTGATCCTCCGACAATTGAAGTGGTGTAGCGATAGCCTAATCTAAAACAACTACGAAGTTTTGTGGTCATATAGGTTATTACGGACGTTTTGTCAAGGTTTGTGGTAGAATACGGATCTACTCAAGAAGAATGGGTCTAAATGGAACTTTGCAATCGAAAAGGCATTTATGGAGTAAAAAAGATGGGAATACAATTAGACTTTCAACTCCAAATATGAATTTTTCTATCAATTTTCTTATGGATTACAAGTGATTACGGTAGTTATGCCGCTTTTGTCTTCGGTTCCTTCGAGGAATATGTGGGCCGGGTACTCTTTTGTCATGGCGGGTCTATCATGCAAAGTGGCTATCTTAAATGCATTACTAAAGATGCTTCCCCTAATATTTATGGGTGGATTTGTGCTTGTGATAGCGTGTAACATACAAGTATTAAGAAGTGTAACAAGTTGTTGCAACCACGAACGACTTTCCTTAGATAGTATTTACTTGCAAAACTTTAGAGGTTCCGAGGATGAGTAGGATGTTTGTCCGTGTTTTCCATACCTTAAAGACATTGTGTCTCCCTCGTGTTGTGTATATCGATGGTTCCTCAATGTACAAGCTCTTTTCTAGCCGCCCTGTCCTTGAAAATATGTCTATAAGAAGAGAAGGATGGGATGGCGTACAAATTATGAACATTTCGGTGCTACCATCGAACAAATTGTTTATATTTTCAATATATGTATGTATGTGCAATCCCTAACAACTCTAACACTAATAGACCATCGTCCCTAATCCCAATTATCGAGTCCGTCTCAAAATCCTATCTTACGTGCATGACAATTTTGCATCCTCGGCTTTTGTTTATTAAAAAAGAGTCTAGCTGACTTTTGATAGAATTTGAGCTTGAACTTGAGTCTAAAATCTAGTTGCTTGTAGTATGATCCAATGTGCCGACCCACTACTTGTGTGAAGGTCATTGTTCTTTGAATTCAAGCATCAAACCCTTAATTTAGCAAATAAAAAATATTGCATAAAGTCACAAAATATTGTTGTAAACAATTACGGAATTAAGAATTTTGTTGATCCTAGCTTGTAAGAGGACACCGAATTTTTTTAAAATTTTCATCCTTGGATTGACTTATATATCGGTAATAAGGTGATTGGCCTCTCATAATACTCTGCTTAAGCCCTAATGCATATATATATAGTTCTCACTAGTGCATTTTCTTTTCCGGTTTTAATCAACCAATTCTACAAAACCTAATGAGTCAACACTTTGAAGTCTCATCTCCGAGTTACAAGAGGCGATTGCTTCTTCGCATAAAAGCTCTTGAACAACGGAATGGAAATAATCATTATCAAGAGCCATTTCTTCTCCATTACCAACTATCCGACGTTGTCGAAGAGCACCATTAGAATCAAAAGGCTCGGTTGATAGAATGTCATCGGCTCCGAAGGAATAAGCATCATCGGTAAGCAACGGTTGATCTTCGGGTGCATCGGCGCCATCCAATGACCGATGCTCATCACCGTTGTTGTTTGTGGTCGCCTCTTACTCGAGTTCCAATGGATCGATTGCATCATTGTCATGATCGGGAAGGAGGTCTGTGTGGTGGGTTCACATTCACGAAACGTGCTATGGTTGATATTGCTAGCTGATCACCCATGGAGCGCTTGCTATTTTTATCCATACCATCATCACCTTCTTCTTCATCATCCAACCGCCTCTTCCTCTTAGGTTGCTTCTTCCTTAAACAACAAACGACGATTACGAGTAGGAGTGCCGACAATATCATTAGCGACGAGGTTGTATTCGTGCATCATCCAAGCACCATTATGAGCCTTGGATTTGGGATTCTTGTAGTTGAATATCTTGACAAGCCACCGAATTCCAAGCCACCCACTCCGCTTGTTTCGTCCTTCATCATGCCATGTACCGTCGGATGATCCAACTAGGCAATTAGTTCGAGATGTAGTTGGGCTCATCTTTTTGAGATTGGTAAAGAAGAATAAGTTCTCATTGTCAATCCCTCCAAAGGCATCCCAAATCTCCCATGGTTCTTGGTGGCCATAAAGATCACAAAAAAGGATAGTGGAATCGAAGGGAGAGGAAAGCCTTTGACCTTCTTGTAGAGATAATGGATGACAAGATCACGGTCGGAAGGCTGAAATCCGAGACCAATTGGAATCCCGGAAAAACCCACGAGTGCTCTTGGATAATTCTTCATCCAAAGAACCCACAATAACCATGGAAGAAGAAGAACAAGCCATTGTTTTGTTCGATGATGAATTGATAACAAAAAAATCAAAATCCGAAAGAAAAAAGCTGAAAACAAGAAAAACGAAACTTTTAGTTTGGATAAGGTAATAAACCCGATAAGAAACGGAAAGAACGTCAATTTGAATCCACAATGGCAAACTCGCCACTTTCAATTTGACTTCACAGATTCCGAGAGATGATGATGGTTGATAAAGACGCAAAAAAGAAATTGAGAGTATTATATGGAGAGAAATCGACCGAGAAATTTATCGAAATTGAGAGAGTTCAAGAGTAGGGGTTTCTTTAAATAAGAAGAGAAGGAAGGTAGGTTCTTAATTTTCCAATAGCTAGTTTATTTGGCGGCGGAGGGCTTCTCACCTAAATTACTAACCTACCCTCAAAATTATGCGGTTTTTTATTCTCTTCGCTATTTCTTTTTCTCTTCATTAGTAATAATCCGCCCTCATTAGTAATTAAGCATTTCTAATTCTACGCGACGGATTTTCGACGCGTTTCCGTTATGATTTTACATGCCGCCTTTCGAATTTGAGTCTTGTAAAGCAACCTCGCTCGCTGGAGATGAAGTAGAAAATCCGCAAAGTAACTTGCAAAACAAGAGAAGCTAATTTTGATTCCGGTTTGCTAGCTGAAAAGGGTGGACCATTTCGATTGGTCCGATACAAAAAACTTGCCCATCTCCAAGAAACCTATGGGTAAGTCTTCGTTTATGGAAAGCATGAAGCTTGATGGGATCATTTCGTTATTTTGCATAATGTGAAGCACGAAATGTCATGTTGCTGAGAGGCGATTTAGTTTTGATCTTACATACGCAGGTGTGTAAATTGATTCGCTTATCAAGTTGTCACCTGTAAAAATAGGCATCAACAAAGATATTCAAGCTCCGTCATCAAGTGAGATCGAGTAAAAACTTTATAGTTCCTGGCATATTTTGAGTTGTTCATGTCGGACTTTGTTTTGCACTAATACATTGATGTTCCTTATTACTGTCAATTGCAGGTGGATGTAGAATGCGTGGAACCCATTTGCCATTGGACTAATTATTCCTCTATGTTTAGGGTTTTCCTTTTTTTTACTAAAGAAAATGGGATGTTCAATTATGGAAATCTAAGCACAAGAATTATGTTTTGCCATTGCGTATCTTTCCTAAGCATGTCTATTAATTATTTTTTAAAAATATTTTAATGGGTAATGGATTAAATATGGATAAAATAGTATTATCCATTTATGTTAATAGGCAATTTATTCATGAATATGGGTATCCTCTTTTTACTCTATTAATACTCATCTTTTACCCATTAACATAAAAAGTACTAAAACATAAAATTTTAAAATAAACAAAAAAAAAAGGAGAAAAAAGTATGTAATTAATCATTCGGATGGTTTCGTTGATATTATTATTATTATTATTATTATTATTATTTATATATTAAAAAACAAATAGTATTTTTAAGGCACTTATGTAATTAACTATGGTTTCGTTGATATTATTATTATTATTATTTATCATTCAATTTAATATTTATCCAAATAATCACGCACGCAATTTGACTAGTGAATCTCTCTATTTTATTATTATTATAATTATAATTTGTGAATTATTCTTCGCAAATCTCATTATTAATATTACTCTTAACATGGATTAATAGCCTTTTTTTTTTTCTTACCGGTCAAGTCAATCTAAACATTATCGTGGATGATATTTATTCACAACTCAATTATCGATTTTGTATTATCACGGTAATATTACCGCCGTACTTGAGATTTTTTCATATTATCTACACTCGACGGTCAATATCTTCGCTTAATTAATTATCATTCAATTTAACATTTATCCAAACAATCACACATGCAATTTGACTAGTGAATCTCTCTATTTTATTATTATTATAATTATAATTTGTGAATTATTCTTCGCAAATCTCATTATTAATATTACTCTTAACATGGATTAATAGCTTACTTTTTTTTTCTTATTGGTCAAATCAATCTAAACATTATCGTGGATAATATTTGTTCAAAACTCAATTATCGGATTTTGGACATTATTATCACGATAATATTACCGCCGTATTAGAGATTTTTTCATATTATCTATACCCGATGGTCAATATCTTCGGTTAATTAATTAATTGTACGTAAATAATAATAATAATAATAAATAAAGTGATGTTATTACCTAATTTATTTCCTTCCAAATGATCCGTGGTTATGAAACATACATACCAAAAAACTCAAAAAGTTTTGTTTGTTGTTTTGCTTCATTTTTTAATCTCAAGGGTGCTCTAGTACTTTTTCTCCCACATGTAAAAGCTTTTGGATTTATTTTGGTTCAACATAACACCTTAGAGCAAATTTCAAGTTTAATTGTTGTTGTGTCCTTTTGGATTTACAAGAAACATAAGAGTCACCGACCTAGAAAAAATCACTATGAGTTTTTTTTATCTTTCTCAATTAAGAAAAAAACTTTACATAAAACATAAAAAATAAATTAAATAATGGTTTGTAAGATAGTCCAACTCGTAAATCTTAATTTACTTTAACAACCGCTTCATTTAATTAACTTCATTATAGTAGTTTAAAAAAATTCAATAATAAAAAAATTGAAAAAAAAAAGCCTTCAATTTTTTTTTAAAAAGTTAGCGAGTAAATAGGTATAGACAAGGTATGGACAGGATATGATATAACGGATATGGCCGGGGTAAAGAAATGTGAATGATTTTTAATAGATAATGAGTAGGGTAATAGATATAGTATTTTTTAGTAGGTAAGGTAAGAGATTGACTTAATGGGTCGGTTACCTGGCCCATTGCCATCCCTAGTCATAACATAGAAAGTGCGGGTGACTTCTATTTCTCAGCTATCCCTTGGCAATTTGATCATGCCAATTGCTAAACCCTAACCACCACGCCAACTCTAACTCAAATCATCCCAATTATCAGGTTCTTCTTACAACCCTAGCTATCTATGGAATGTTGGTTCTTAGTGTTATTATGTCTAGTTTCAGGTAAAGGCAACTTTTTTTTCCAATGGTTTTGACCTTATACAAGAAGAACTCTAGTACGTCAGAAGTCCTCTAGTCTTTACGCTTTGAATTTTTATGTCTAGCTTCATGCAAAGGCAATCGTTTGGATAAAGTCATGAAATTATTGAGTGATATTGAGAAAGTTGTGTATAAACTTTAATAGAACATTCTGTTAAAAGCATTGTAACCTAAACCGAAAGGCATTGCAAAACTTGTGACAACTGTGATGCCATTTCCCTAGAATTTAGTGTGGTTTTGACTATTTATTCAGTGAATTCTGAAAACACATCTTACGAATTCTAGAATTCGGTAATTGCATTATCGAATAAAATTAAAGTAGAATGCTGGGACTGAAGTCCCAAAAAGGTAGTGTCTTCTACCTTCTAGGGAAGGCTCTTTTCTAGCTGCCCTGTCCTTGAAAACATAGCTATATGAAGAGAGGGATGGGATGGTGTGCGAATTATGAATATTTCAGTGCCATCAGTGAAAAGATTGTCTATGTTTTTAGACATGGATTTCTTGGAGGATTATAAGCACAAGACTAAGATTGATACCCCATATTTTGAGTATTTTGAAATCAAAGACACTTCACTGGGTGATTCTTCCATGAATGTTTCATCTGCTCTAGTTGAAGCATGTATTTATGATAATTGCCTACCTGGGCTTCTCAATGGAATCTCCCAAGTTGAGCTTCTATTACTGTCTCGCAATGCTATGTCGGTACACATTCTGAATGGCTATATTTTTCTTGATTGTTGAATATCATGAACTCTATGCCATCAATGCTTTCTTTTTTGTAGTCTGTTAATGCTGTTGTTTGTGATTCTACTCTACCCACATTTCATTAACTTGTTAGTGAGTTTATAACCTGGGAATCGCTGCCAGACTTGCTTGAGAGCTCTCCTAATCTTGAAATTCTTGTATTCCCAGAGGCAAGTTGGATTCAATTTCCTTTTAGGTCTAAACTAATAGGCATATGGATGTATGAATTCTTGGTATTTTTCTTGCACAGGGACTTGTTGTTCCTAAAGAGGATGGACGAGGTTTCCATGGCTCTTATTGGCATCAACCAGAGGAGGACCCTAAGTGTTTGCTCTAAAGTCTGAAGACAATTGAAATTAATAACTTCGTGGGAATATCTGGTGAGAAATATCTCGTAGAATATTTGTTAAGTCTGCCAAAGTTTTGGAGAAGATGATAATGCGAGGTTACCAATTTTTTGGAAGGCCAAGAATGCTGAAGAAGCTAAAGGCTCTTAGGAATGAGATATTAGACTTCCCAAGAGGTTCTAGTCATTGTGAACTTGTTTTCACAATGTGAAGAAGTAATTTTGGTGCTCCATCCTTTGGAAAGATTCCAATGCCTCATTTTCTGGTAAATGTATGATTTGGAAATATTTGCCTTCTCTTTTTGCTGTTGTATACCATCTGAAATCACTTGTTCAAATGATGTTTTTGATGCTGCTTCTGCAGTTACAGTGGTAATATGTGCTGGTAGAAAATTCGTATTACTGCAGTTGTAGATAATTGTTTGATTGTTTGTGTAAAATATCTGAACTCTGTTTTGATCGTCAAGTCGCTTTCAGCCTGTGGTTTTGTATCGCTTATTGCTGCTATGAAATTTATAATTTGCTCTGTTTATCCTTGCTAGTCGAGACTGAATTTTTAGGATTCTTATATTAGCATTGACTTACAGGAATGAGAAGGAGATTTGGCTACAAGAAAATATGTGCTTATATATAAACTCATTTGGAGCTCTAAAATTCAAATGTAACTTCATTTTTTTCCCTTCGCTGTTTCTCATTTGGAGTAAGAGATCTGAGCTTACAGATTCTAGTATTTTTTTCTGCATTAATGTGGCAAAACTCAGTGAGCATTTATTTATAAAATTTAGAGAGGACTGCAATTAAACAATATTTTTCAAATGTGTCCTATATCCTTCATTATTCTCATTTTCCTTCACCAAACTGTCTTTAAGACTCATATCGCTCAGCATCATTAATCCATGTGGTGTGGACATCATTCAACATAAGGCAGATATGCCAAAAAAAAATCTCAAAAATTATACTTTTTATGGAATTTCTTTCTGCAAATACAATATATATTCATAATTTGGGTAAACTCTTCAGAGAGTGAAGATGAATTTCCCATAATTAGTGATGACACAAGTTATTTCTTAAGAAAAAGAAAACGAATCCCTAACATAATTGGTAAAACCAAATACCTAAAAAATTTGAAATTTTAGGTTTGCTGATTTTTCTCTATAATTTATTGTTGATTGTGTTCACCTATATAAACCCACGCATTGCTGTGGACCATGGATAGAGTTACGTATACAATTTCTAACTACCTGATCAAAACACAGTAACTGAATTTGTATGTTGTCTTGGTTTTATGAGAATTCCAATGCAATTGGTAAGAGATGTGGAAAATAAAAAATAAAACTTTTAACATAATTAGCAAAACTGTTTCTCAGAAAATTCATGTACCAGTAAAGAAAGGCTGTTAATGGCACCTATGAATTTGATTCATAAAATTATAAGCATAACATTACTGAATGAGAGTTGAACCTTCAAAACAGAAGTATGAATATAACCCCTACATATACCTTCGAGACTTAAAAGCTGACATCATTAACTTAGCGTTTTCTTCCATCAATTCTTGCCGCTTCATAAAGAACTCCAATTCAGCTACCCATAACTTCCTCCACTTCTCCTTCATCTCCACCTTCTTCCTCCCATGCACAAAATCCAATCCCCTCATCGCAACATAATCATCGATTTTTTCGACACTCACACTTTTACAAAACTCCAAAACTTTTTGACACTTGAATCTCTCTCCATCTCACCTTCTACTCTGTCCTCTCCCACATCATTATCTGACCCAGATTCTGATTTGGATGCAGATTCAAATTTTTGAGTCGAGGGTTTGGGATTTTTGGGGGTTGACTTTTGGGTTCAAGTGGTTTTTGTTTGTTGTTGATGAGGAGAGGGTTGATTTTGTTCATCATCAGATACCTCTTCCTCTTCACCACTGGAAGTTTCTTCCTCTTCTTCTTTGTTAGAGCTAGAAGAAGAGGGTGGATCTTCAACGGGAGGTGGGCATTTTGGTGCCATTAAAAAAAAAAAAAAGTAATTTTTTAACCATCAAACCAATTCATTAAAATTACTTGGGACAAAATCAAGTTAATATTCACGTTGAGTTAAAAAAAAAAATCTAAGTAAACCTAGCATTGTTATTTTGATAACTCAATTAAGAATTCTTTTTTTAAAAAAAAAAATTGAACTAATAATTTGGTTTTGTAGATAATTATTCATTTGATTTCAAAAGATTAATGTTGAAATAAGTTATAACTAATTATTCCCTACAATTATCAATAAAATTTTACAACCGATTAAAATTATAAATTATTGATTTAGTTACCCATGAATAGTGTTGAAAAAATAATATATTTATTAATGAATTCATTAATTTTAATTTTTTTACAAAAAAAAAATAGTCTTGTAATAATCATTTTCAATCATTTAAGTATAATATAAGTGGTGTTTGAGATAATAGTAAAAAAATAAAGATAAATTATTGAAATATTTATTATAAAAATAATTTTAAGGTGTAAAAATGGTTTTTAAGAATATTTAATATATCTATAAATCAAAAAATAAAATATTAGTAGAAATAGAGAAAAAATAATTAAATAATAAATAATAATTGATAAGGAATAATTAAAAATTAATTTGATATATTTTAAATAAAAAATAAAAAAAATTGTTAAAATATATTGAGAGAGAGGTAAGCAATGCAAAAGCGAAACATGTCTCATGAGAAGAAAAATGTTTTTCTCTTTTTAAACTGGGAGAATATTTTTCTAAAAATACTCTATCATTTTTCGTTGACTGAAAATCATTTTCTGTTAATTTTTCTCCTAAACTGAAACAAACACTGAAAAAAAAAAAAAAAAGTTCCTAGAACTTAAATTTCCCTAAACAAACACAGCTTGAGAAATGGTCATGGTGCATATTCAAATCAGTTATGAATATTTGTTTCATGATCATCAATTTTATTTCATTGTCACGCCTTTCTTGATGATCTATCAGGGGTTCAATTTCGGAAGAGAAATTAGGTGCAGGATTCAAATCCAATTTTTTAAAATCTACCCTTCCCATCTTCTTTCTTTTCTTTGATGCTCTCTCTCCTCGACCCTCCTGATCATGCATCTTCATTATCCACTCTTTGACGTTTAAAGATTCGTTTTCTATGAGCTGCATCAGTCTTTTTTTTTTTTTTCTTACCTTTCGATCTTTAATTTCAAACCATCTCGATAAGAACTGATATAATGATGGTTTTTCTTGACAAACTTTTGTTCAGTCATTCTCCTCTTTTTCTTAGGTAAAAGAATGCCAAGCGGGTTTAAAAATTCATCAACACTGCTATTAGTACTCTTGGCATCTTCTTGATCAGAACTTTCAGTTTTCTTGGAAATAATAAACCTGAATTCTTCAGCAGCTGCAGTACCAGTACTCGTGGCTTTTTCATGATCAGTACCACTTTGGGGTCCTTCTTGGAAAGAAACTCTTCTCCACATCCTCTCCTTTTCTTGGGTGCAAAGCCCTCAAGTAGGTTCACAAATTGATGGTCACTGTAATTGGCCATCGTATAGCTGCTCTTGACCTTCAAAAGCCCTCCTATGGGACAATTTGTCCTGAACCACATCAGAGCATCCACAAGTTCCTTTTCGACTAGAGTTAACTCCAGTTTTTCATCTTCTGTATCTTTTCCAAGAAGCCCTTCATTGCAAGATCTCCACGCCATCTTTAATTATATAATTCTTCAACTTCTTCTTCCTTTCTTCAATAAATATTTGAAACTAGGAAAAAAACCCTTTTCTAATACACAGCTCAAAACCCTTTTCTTTTTATGAACTCTATATCAACACTAGGGATAGACCAGTACTCTCATTTCTATAATTAAGGGTAAAACTTTTTCTAATTTAATTTGTGGTTCGAATTTTACTCAATCCATAATGCCAAATTACAGCTATAGTTAGTCCAGTTCGTGAGAAGCGTAAAGATAAATCTTTTGCTTCACTATAACAACTAAAAAAGGGGAAAACTTATTTTCCCTACTGCATATCCCAAGGTCGATTTGATCTTTTATTAAATAAAAAAATGATATGATCTTTTAATCTTTCATAGAACTATATAGAACTATACATATGTAAAACCTAAAAAATTTATATTAAGTATATGCTTCTCATGAAGTGAGTTATTCTTCCCTCCCAATGGAAAGAGTATTTTTAAGCCAACTTACATGTCAATCATTTTCAAACGATTTTAAGGATGCACCTTTTATATAGTCAGATAGGTTCAAAAGAATTTATTAAATTTTTCTACACGATGGTTCTAAGATTTGAACCAAGAAAGTCAGAAATAGAGCAAACCTCTGTAACCACTAATAGTTTTATTATTAAAATTTATTTAGGAAAGGAAAATGTTAATTACATATTAAGTAGTTTGATTACACAGTCTCAAAGGGTTGGTCTATGGATAAAGAAGTTTGCTCGTTTTTTAAATTCAAACTTTAAACCCAATTTATTAAATTATTTTAAATGCATCAAGATAATGTTAGAGAGTGCGTTCTTAAAATTATCAATGAAAAAAATTAATCTCCATTGATATATAAAATATTTCAAAAATATCGTTACGGTTGAGGAAAAAAAAGTTTAATCACAACAATTTAATTTTTTATTGGTATTCGTAAGCTCTCATATTGCTGGAGATTTTGGCCCAAGTGAAAAAAGACCTTCAATTGCTTGGGCAGCCGATGGTAAGCTCTCACATTACTGGCCTAGTTAGCATCTCGGTTTTATTTGAGAAGTGATATAGGTATGGTGGCCCATCTACGGCCTCCTTCATTTCTGCGGGCTGAAATATTTTTTTAAACAATAGTTGCAGAAAAGCCCTAAAACAGGTGGGGTTTTCCTAGCAAGTTTGTTTGTTTGTTTGTTTTTTTTTTTTTTTAATGATACGGGTTTTTCTAACATGTGTTTTAGGACACGTGCTAATTGATACTATAATTGGAAAGTTTAACTAATTAATAAATTTAATTCCGTAATTGATTAATATGCCAATTTGAATAACTTCCCTAAAACCCGAAAATCTAATTTCAATTTTCTTTTTCTGAGCCTGGACTTCGGAGATAAAGAAAATAAAAAATGAGCTACTCCTCCATGTGCCTAAAATATAAACTTTAACAAGATTATGAGTACCAATAACAAGGGGACAGGTTTGGAGCTGTTAATAAAAAATAACTTTTTTGTGTTTATAATTTCTCTTAATTTTTGAATTTTATTGTCAATTTTTAAATTTGGAGATTTTGTTATTTGATTAGAAATTCATGTTAGGGGTTTAAAATTAGGACTAATTGAGTTCAATTAGATTTCAATTTAGGGTTTTAAACCTAGAATTAAACTCAATTGAATTGGATTGAAAACCTAAGTTTTTTAAAAACTTTTAAAAAATCAATTTGAGAAATTTGAAAAATTAGAACAATCGTTTTAATTTAGAGGTTCTACCACCATTTTAATATGATGTCACGATAAAAAAATAAAATTTTAATTTTCGAAATTTCGAAAGAGGCTGCAAGCGGAGAGGATTGTGGCAATAAAGAGGCTACAGGAAGTTTGCAGGAGTAGGGGCCGTGCAGGGCAACTTAGGGAGAAACGAATTGTCTAGAGGATAAATTGGGTGTGGCAAGAGTTATGGAGAAAAGGATGAATGACTGCAATCTGAAGTTTAAAACTGAAATTGGGAACAAAATTGGTTTTAGGAAAAACAGATTGACTAATTAAATAACATGTATTGGTGTGGCAATATATATATATATATTGTTTTTGGTCTTTCATAACATGTATTTCTTGACTAATTAATTTTTTTAAAATAAATTAGCCATTGAATTTCTATTTTGATTATTTATATTTAACTATATATGAGAATTATAATAAAATTTAATATTTACATCGACTTGATACTTTTTTTGGTTGAATATTAACTATAAAATATTAATTATAAATACAAAAAAATAATTATTCATTATCATTTTTTGGGAGCAAGGACGGTATTCTGAAGTGTATTAATATAAAAGTGAAAGACTACAATAAAGGACGATCCAGCCTAGCCCATCATATTAATGTGAAACAATGAAGGACAAGAGAAAGTAATTAATTTTTGTTTTTGTAATATTAAAATTAAAAAATTTTTAGCTCATTTTTCTGCTTTTGTTTCTTTTTTCCTCATGATATTAATGTGACGTAACATGACATGTAGTGATTTTTTGTCAAATGTCATTTTCATTAAAAAATTAGTCGAAAAATAATCGAAGAAGCAACAATAAAAAAATAAAAAAATAAAAAAATATTTGATGAGATTAACCCTTTTGAAGTGTGGATGATCTAGTCCTAAAAATTTCAATAACTTAATAATAAAATAAACAAATGCTTTAACAATCCTAAAAAATTAAGATTTAATGTTATAGATTTTGTTACCTTAGTATTAAGGATTTCAATTAGCTTTTACCAAAGAGTTAGGGATTTTGATTTTTTTTTTTAATTTGAATTTGAGACTTTTTTTATTATTTTACTTTTACTTGAAAGAATACTTAATTAATTTTACATATCGTCCTTCTAATTGTTATATATTTTTTTTGTACGCATCTAATATTTTCTTAGATTAGTAAACCCTACATAAAAAAGTAATTACATAAAAAAAAATTAAAAATCCAAATAAGAATAAAAATAATTTTTATTTGTATTTATTAAAATTTAAATTCATGTTATTTTAAAATATTATAGTCTTTTTATTGAAAACATGTATTAATTAATTATCTTTTTTACTTATATATATATATAGGTCTAGGGATTTAAAGGTTTCTCACCAGTTATCATTTGTTTAGGGCCGGCTCTCTGTCTTCTCTCAAAGACCCACCCTGCCGCTGCTAACCCAACTCTCTTTAGGAACCCTAACTCTCTGTTTGTTAATGGCACCAAAACGCCCGCCTCCGGTTGAAGATCCACCCTCTTCTTCTAGCTCTGAGGACGAAGAAGAGGAAGAAGCTTCCAGTGGTGAAGAGGAGGAGGCATCTGATGATGAACAAAATAAACCCTCTCCTCATCAACCACAAACGAAAACCACTCGAACCCAAAAGTCAAGCCCTAAAAATCCCGAAACCTTGACTCAACAATCTGAATCTGAGTCCAAATCAGAATCTGGGTCGGATAACGATGTGGGAGAGGACAGAATGGAAGGTGAGATGGAGAGAGATTCAAGTGTCAAAAAGGTTTCGGAGTTATACAACAGTGTGAGTGTTGCAAGCATGGATGATTACGTTGTGAGGAGGGGATTGGATTTTGTGCATGGGAGGAAGAAGGCGGAGATGAAGGAGAAGTGGAGGAAATTGCGGGTAGCTGAGTTGGAGCTCTTTTTGAAGCGGAAAGAATTGATAGAAGAACAAGCTAAGTTAATGCTGTCAGCTTTTAAGTCTCGAAATTACATGTAGGGGTTATATTCATAATTCTGTTTTCAGTAATGTTATGCTTTATTTCTCATTTAGCAGATATTTTGTCATTTATTTCTTATTTTTGTAGTTATTTTGTGTTTGATTAGTGGATTTCTTATAATTTTTGGAATCAAATTCATAGGTGCCCTTAACAGCCTTTCTTTATGGTTCATTAAGAAATAACTGGTGTCATCACTGGTTATGGGAAATTCATCTTCACTCTCTGAATAGTTTACCCAAATTATGAATATATATTATATTTGCAGAAAGAACTTCCATAAAAGTATGTTGTTTAAATTTATATATCAATAGTCAATATATCCTTGAAAATAAGTTTGGCAGATGATGGAAACTAATGGCTTCAGGGGAATCGGTGGATAACTTTTGAGATGTCCTCACTAAATTTTATGAATGCATGCTCAGATCTCTTACTCGAAATGAGAAACAGCTGAAGGAAAAAATGAAGTTACATTTGAATTTTAGAGCTCTAAATGGGTATGTATATAGCACATGAGTGATAGCACATGAGTGATGAGCCTTGCTGTAGAAAGAAATCATTCCCTCATAAAGGCTTTTTCTTTTATGATATTGTTAATGGCATAATCAGATAATCAAAGTACTTTAAGGAAGGATATCCACTACAGGAGCAAAACAGAAAATTTCCCACTAGAGGTTTTCATCATATTTGACAATTAGAAACCTCACTTACCTGGTACAAATTACTTACCATAATAAGTGAAAAAACCAAGTAATTGACTGATGTCAAGCCTCTGAAAAGATCAAAAGATATATATAACACAAGTGCTTCAAGCTAGGAAAGGATGATTTTTTCTGAGAATTTGTAAGAAAGATACACAGTGAACTTCGAACCTAGTCTAGCTAATATGAGAATCCTAAAAATTCAGTCTCTACTAGCAAGGATAAACAGAGCAAATTGTAAATTTCACAGCAGCAATAAGCGATACAAAACCACAGGCTGAAAACGACTTGACGGTCAAAACAGAGGAGTTCAGATATTTTACACAAACAATCAAACAATTATCTACAACTGCAGTAATACGAATTTTCTACTATCACATATTACCACTGTAACTACAGAAGCAGCATCAAAAACATCATTTGAACAAGTGATTTCAGATGGTATACAATAGCAAAAAGAGAAGGCAAATATTTCCACATCATACATTTACCAGAAAATGAGGCAGTAGAACCTCTTGGGAAGTCTAATATATATATCTTTCCAAAGGATGGAGCACCAAAATTACTTCTTCACAGTGTGAAAACAAGTTCACAATGACTAGAACCTCTTGGGAAGTCTAATATCTCATTCCTAAGAGCCTCTAGCTTCTTCAGCATTCTTGGCCTTCCAAAAAAATTTGTAACCTGGGATTATCATCTCCTCCAAAACTTCGGCAGACTCTAGCAAATATTCTACAATATATTTCTCGCCCGACATTTCCACGAAGTTATTAATTTCAATTGTCTTCAGACTTGAGAGCAGACACTTAGCTGGAAATACGAGAATTTCAGGATTAGGAGAGCTCTCAAGCAAGTCTGGCAGGGATTCCCAGTTTATAAACTCACCAACATATAGCACTAGTTTGGTAAGATCATGGAATGTGGGCAGAATAGAATCACAAACAACAGAATTGACAGACTAGAAAAAAGAGAGCATTGATTGCATAGAGTCCATGATGACATTGTAGGGAAAAAGAGAACAGCAATCAATGATATTCAAGATCAAGAAAAATATAGCCATTCAGAATGCATACCGACATAGCATCGCCAGACAGTACTAGAAGGTCAAGGACAGGGCAGCTAGAAAAGAGCCTGTGCATTGAAGCATCATCAACAGATACAACATGAGCAATACCGAGGGTCTCAAAGGCATGGAAAAAAAGATATTCATAGGCAAGTCTAGGAAAAACATCCCGTTAAGTCTCCAAAACCACCAAAGTTTTGCAAGTAAAAATTCTCCAAGGCAGCGGCTGAAGATTGCAGGAACTGGTTTCAACTGTTAATTCTTGCACATTACGAGCTATCACAGCATACACCCACACATAAATATATGGGGAAACGTCTTCAGTAGGGCATTCGAAAACACATTTTCGTATAATTCCCCCTCCATGATAAAAGAGTACCTGATCCACATAATCCTTGAAGGACCTGAAAACTGTCGCATTATTACTATTGTGTCTTGCAATATTATAAGAAAATTGATCAGAAAAATCCAGATTTGGGGTTAGTGTCCAAATGTACTCCCATCTTTTGGATAGAATGCTGGTGGAGACTGCGTGTTTTGTTGTAAGAAATGAGATTGTGTGAGAAATAACTTCAACTGGCAACTTGCTGATCCCATCCACATTGTCACCAATATTGGCAGATTTCTTAGGGAATGGCAAGCTTATGTCCATGCATTCTGCTGTGTACACAAAACAGAATAAAACATTAATTAAAGCTTTTAAATTTCAGAAATAGAAGGTAGAAGAAACTTCAAAAGCCATCAAACGGAGAAACTTTAGGCAGTTTACAATCCATTCTGTATTAGGGAAGGCATAAAATGTTATGCCACAAAATGGAAAAAAAAAAAAAAAAACACAAAGAACTTTAGTTAAAAGAACAATGCTTTCAAATTTCATTTCTTACAGTAACTAAGGAAATTATATAACTACAAAGTTAAAATTTGCTTATGTATCTCTTAATGGGACAACTCAATCTGAAAGCACTTTTTGCAGTGACTTCAAGCGCCTATAGAGCTTGCGACGTAGCTTCAGCAATGCCTTCCCTTAGAAGCTAGAAGACACTAAGTTCTATTCGGTAATGCAATTGTGTTTGGTTCACCTTTTTGGGACTTCAGTCCCAGCAGTCTACTTTAATTTTATTCGGTAATGCAATTACCGAATTCCAGAATTCGTAAGGTGTGTTTTCAGAATTCAGTGAATAAATTGTCAAAACCACACTAAATTCTAGGGAAATGGCATCACAATTGTCACAAGATTTGCAATGCCTTTCAGTTTAGGATTACAATGCTTTTCACAGAATGTTCTATTAAAGTTTATACACAACTTTCTCAATACAGAGACATTTCTTGACAGCAATTTACGAGGAGCTAGAGATTCCCTGTAAACATATTGTGTGCTAATCTTTGAAAGAATGTTACAATGAAGATTCTTGATAAAGCGAAAACCGTGACTGAGAAGATCTCTATAAAAACATGGTAAGAAATTTGCTGATAATAATTGCTGGAGCGAAACCTGAAGTAAACATGCATGATACTGATTAACATCTGAGAAGAAAGATCAATCTTAAGTATCTCGGAAAGTGAACAGCCTAATTCTGTCATCTGATATTGCCTGACAACACTGAGTCGGTAATTCAATTGGTGCAAATATTATTTTACTGGTTTTGTGCTGTAGTGCCCAATCCACTAGCCTATCTGCAGATCTATTGCCTTCTTTATGTGTATGCTGAATTCTTATGTCTAAACTGATATAATTCCCAACCTCGCTGAAAGTATAAGTTAACTACCAAGGGATAGCCTGAGACTCTGACAAAAAATTTATTTGTTATTAACTGGGAACCACGAGCCTGCTTCAAACTCGTCCCCTTGTTATTGGTACTCAAAATCTTGAAAAAATTTATATTATAATATCTTTAGGCATATGGAGGATTGTAACTCGTCCTCTTGTCATTTTGATTATTTATATTTAACTATGTACGAGAATTATAATAAAATTTAATATTTATATCGACTTTATATTTATTTTTCGTTGTATCAAGATTAAATTCTCTTTTGCCATTAAAGTATATCAGCTGCTTCCATTTTATCTGGGCAATCTATACAGGTGGATTTGTCTTTGTTAGATTTCCTACTATAGTAAAATGATTGTGTAACCTTTGGCGTTGACGAACATAAGCGAGGTCTCAATCAAAAGCACCAAAAAAAAGATTTAATTGCGACAGAGGAGGGAGAGAAAGTAATCAATTGGAAACTCCAAAAAAAGGAAGCAAACAAAAAATGAAAATAAAAACCGAAGAAAGAACTCTGCATAAATTGTGACGGAAGAGGGAGAGAGATAGGGTAATTAATTTTGACATTTTACTTTAAAAATTAGTGGGTTTTGATGGTGGGTTAATTTGAAACAGAGAAGGAAGAGAGAGAGAGTAATTAATTTATGTTTTTTAAATATTAAAATTATATTTTTTTCAGCTCATTTTTTTGATTTTATTTTTTTCCACATGATATTAATATGACATAGGATGATATGTGATAATTTTTTGTCAGATATCATTTTTTATCAGAAAATAATTGAAGAAGCAATATTAAGAAAATAAAAAAAATAGAAAAACATTTGATGCGATTAACTCTTTTGAAGTGTGGATGATGGAGTTCTAAAAATTTCAATAACTTAATAATTAAATAAATAAATACTTTAACAATCATGAAAAATTAAGATTTAGTGTTATAAATTTTGTTACGTTATTATTAACCAAAGAGTTAGGGTTTTTTATATTTGTTTTTTTTTTAATTGGAATTAGGAGTTTTTTTTTATTATTTATTTTTATTTGAAAGAATACTTAATTTTACATGTATGTCGTTCTTATAATAGTTGTATTTTTTTATATGCATATAATATCTTCTTATATTAGCAAACCCTACATAAAAAAATAAAAAATCTAAATCAGAATAAAAATACATTTTATTTGTATTTATTAAAATTTAAATTCATGTTATTTTAAAATATTATCCTCTTTTTATTGAAAACATGGATTAATTAATTCTCTGTTTTACTTATATATATATATATATATGGGTCTAGGGATTCGAAGGTTTCTCACTAGTTATTGTTTGTTTAGGGCCGGCTCTCTGTCTTCTCTCAAAGACTCACCCTGCTGCTGCTAATCAAACTCTCTTTCGAAACCCTAACTCTCTGTTTCTTAATGGCACCAAAACGCCCCCTCCCGTTGAAGATCCACCCTCTTCTTATAGCTCTAACGAAGAAGAAGAGGAAGAAACTTCCAGTGGTGAAGAGGTATCTGACGATGAACAAAATCAATCCTCTCCTCATCAACCACAGACGAAAACCACTCGAACCCAAAAGTCAAGCCCCAAAAATCCCGAACCCTCGACTCAACAATCTGAATCTGAGTCCAAATCAGAATCTGGGTCGGATATGGATGTGGGAGAGGACAGAATGGAAGGTGAGATGGAGAGAGATTCAAGTGTCCAAAAGGATTCGGAGCTTTATAAAAGAATGGATGATTATGTTGCGAGAAGGGGATTGGATTTTGTTCATGGGAGGAAGAAGGCGGAGATGAAGGAGAAGTGGAGAGAGTTGCGGGTAGCTGAGTTGGAGTTCTTTTTGAAGCGGCAAGAATTGATGGCAGAACAAGCAAAGTTAATGCTGTCAGCTTTTAAATCTCGAAGGTACATGTAGGGGTTATATTCATAATTCTGTTTTCAGTAATGTTATGCTTTGTTTCTCATTTAGCAGATATTTTGTCATTTATTTCTTATTTTTGTAGTTATTTTGTGTTTGATTAGTGGATTTTCTTATAATTTTTGGAATCAAATTCATAGGTGCCCTTAACAGCCTTTCTTTATGGTTTATTAAGAAATAACTGGTGTCATCACTGGTTATGGGAAATTCATCTTCACTCTCTGAAGAGTTTACCCAAATTATGAATATATATTGTATTTGCAGAAACAACTTCCATAAAAGTATGTTTTTTAAATTTATATATCAAGGAAACATCCTCTCGTAGTCAATATATCCTTGAAAACAAGTGGAATCGGTGGATAACTTTTGAGATGTCCTCACTAAATTTTATGAATGCATGCTCACTGAGTTTTGCCACATTAATGCAGAAAAGAAAAATACTAGAATCCGTAAGCTCAGATCTCTTGCTCCAAATGAGAAACAGCGAAGGTTAAAAAATGAAGTTACATTTGAATTTTAGAGCTCCAAATGAGTGTATATATATATAGCACATGAGTGATGAGCCTTGCTGTAGAAAGACATCATTCCCTCATAAAGGCTTTTTCTTTTATGACATTGTTAATGACATAATCAGATAATCAAAGTACTTTAAGGAAGGATATCCACTACAGGAGCAAAACAGAAAATTTCCCACTAGAGGTTTTCATCGTATTTGACAATTAGAAACCTCACTTACCTGGTACAAATTACTTACCATAATAAGTGAAAAAACCAAGTAATTGACTGATGTCAAGCCTCTGAAAAGATCAAAAGATATATATAACACAAGTGCTTCAAGCTAGGAAAGGATGATGTTTTCTGAGAATTTGTAAGAAAGATACAGAGCGAACTTCGAACCTAGTCTAGAAAAAGAAGGGCAAAAACATACACGTGCCAGAGAATGGGACTTTAGAGTTCAGACTTGATAGCTTGATATCCCTGCTATCCCTTTGAAAGATAGAGCATGGAATCACTCCAAGTGCTGGAACGAACTTTAAAGTCATCCTACCAACCATTTTTTTTTCATATTCTTGCCCTTCTAGCTTATTTTCTTGTAGCCAAATCTCCCTCTCATTCCTGCAAGTCAATGCTAATATGAGAATCCTAAAAATTCAGTCTCCACTAGCAAGGATAAACAGAGCAAATTGTAAATTTCACAGCAGCAATAAGCGATGCAAAACCAGAGGCTGAAAGCGACTTGACGGTCAAAACAGAGGAGTTCAGATATTTTACACAAACAATCAAACAATTATCTACGACTGCAGTGATACGAATTTTCTACTAGCACATATTACCACTGTAACTGCAGAAGCAGCATCAAAAACATCATTTGAACAAGTGATTTCAGATGGTATACAACAGCAAAAAGAGAAGGCAAATATTTCCACATCATACATTTACCAGAAAATGAGGCCGTAGAATGGTTAACATATATCTTTCCAAAGGATGGAGCACCAACATTACTTCTTCACATTGTGAAAATAAGTTCACAATGACTAGAACCTCTTGGGAAGTCTAATATCTCATTCCTAAGATCCTCTAGCTTCTTCAGCATTCTTGGCCTTCCAAAAAATTTGTAACCTCGGATTATCATCTTCTCCAAAACTTTGGCAGACTTCAGCAAATATTCTACAAGATATTTCTCGCAAGACATTCCCACAAAGTTATTAATTTCAATTGTCTTCAGACTTTAGAGCAAACACTTAGGGTCCTCCTCTGGTTGATGCCAATAAGAGCCATGGAAACCTCGTCCATCCTCTTTAGGAACAACAAGTCCCTGTGCAAGAAAAATACCAAGAATTCATACATTCATATGCCTATTAGTTTAGACCTAAAAGGAAATTGAATCCAACTTGCCTCTGGGAATACAAGAATTTCAAGATTAGGAGAGCTCTCAAGCAAGTCTGGCAGCGATTCCCAGGTTATAAACTCACCAACAAGATAATGAAATGTGGGCAGAGTAGAATCACAAACAACAGCATTGACAGACTACAAAAAAGAAAGCATTGATGGCATAGAGTTCATGATATTCAACGATCAAGAAAAATATAGCCATTCAGAATGTGAACCGACATAGCATCGCGAGACAGTAATAGAAGCTCAACTTGGGAGATTCCATAAATACATGCTTCAACTAGAGCGGATGAAACACTCATGGAAGAATCACCCAGTGAAGTGTCTTTGATTTCGAAATACTCAAAATATGGGGTATCAATCTCAGTCTTGTGCTTATAATCCTCCAAGAAATGCATGTCTGAAAATATAGACAACCTTTTCACTGATGGCACTGAAATATTTGTAATTCGCACACCATCCCAAACTCTCTCTTCATATAGCTAAGTTTTCAAGGACAGGGCAGCTAGAAAAGAGCCTTCCCCTAGAAGGTAGAGGACACTACCTTTTTGGGACTTCAGTCCCAGCATTCTACTTTAATTTTATTCGGTAATGCAATTACCGAATTCCAGAATTCGTAAGATGTGTTTTCAGAATTCACTGAATAAATAGTCAAAACCACACTAAATTCTAGGGAAATGGCATCACAATTGTCACAAGTTTTGCAATGCCTTTCGGTTTAGGTTACAATGCTTTTAACAGAATGTTCTATTAAAGTTTATACACAACTTTCTCAATATCACTCAATAATTTCATGACTTTACACAAATGATTGCCTTTGCATGAAGCTAGACATAAAAATTCAAAGCATAAAGACTAGAGCACTTCTGACGTACTAGAGTTCTTCTTGTATAATGTCAAAACCATTGGAAAAAAAAAAGTTGCCTTTACCTGAAACTAGACATAATAACACTAAGAACCAACATTCCATAGTTGTTCAAAGTAAAAAAAAAAAAAAAACACATAGAATTTGTGTGTGAAGGATAGCTAGGGTTGTAAGAAGAACCTCATAATTGGGATGATTTGAGTTAGAGTTGGCATGGTGGTTAGGGTTTAGCAATTGGCATGATCAAATTGCCAAAGGACAGCTGAGAAATAGAAGTCACTCGCACTTTCTGCTGTGTTATGACTAGGGATGACAATGGCTCGGGTAATCGGCCCATTAAGTCAATCTCTTACCTTACCTACTAAAAAATACTATATCTATTACCTTATTCATTATTCATTAAAAATCATTTATCCATTTCTTTACCCCGCCCATATCCGTTATATCATACCCCGTCTATACCTATTTACCCGTTAACTTTTTTCTTTAAATTGAAGGCTTTTTTTTTCAATTTTTTTTATTAATGAATTTTTTTTAACTCGCGATGATGAAGTTAATTAAATGAAGCGGTTGTTAAAGTAAATTAAGATTTACGAGTTGGACTATCTTACAAATCATTATTTAATTTATTTTTTATACAAAGTTTTTTTCTTAATTGAGAAAGATAAAAAAAAAACTCGCAAGTGGTTTTTTCTAGGTCATTGACTCTTATTTTTCTTGTAAATCCAAAAGGACACAACAACAATTAAACTTGAAATTTGCTCCAAGATGTTCCGTTGAACCAAAATAAACCCAAAAGCTTGTTCAATTAGCACTAATTGTACATTTGTACCCTAAATGTAGGACCTTGTTCAATTATTGAAACCAAATGCTTGCGAAAGAGGCAAAAGAAATTAAATTCCGAGTGACCATGATTTTCTAAAACAATGTTTTAGTTACGGAGATAATGATATTAACTAATAAACTAAAGGAAAATGTTGAAACACTCGTAGCTATACTATTTGAAACACTATGCATACATTTATGTTTCATTATTCACCCTCTTATAATTCACTCGTTATTTTCATTATTTATAAATTTTTTTTACACTTTGGTCCATGATATTGTCGAACTCATATTTCGATCCACATGTTCATTTGCTCATCAATTTTGGTCCTTAGGTGGAGAGAGAAGGCCGAGAGGAAAAGAGAGAGATCGCCGACCAAGCTCATTTAAGCCACTCTAGTCGGCAAAAATCCACTATATTTTTTTATCTTTAATAGATGAGTTTGTTCATGGTGGTTTCAAGCCATTAAATAATTAGAGGAGGTAGATCGAGCCAAAAAAGAAAAAAAATCGATTTGATTTTGTATTTTTTTTATTTTTGTGTGTATTAAAATGATTTTTTAGGTTTTAGAATTGTTTATTGACTTTATTTTGATCATTTAGAGGTGTTTGAAAAACAAATGATACCAAAATTCAATTTCTAGATGTTTGAAAGTTGATCTTCGATTTTGAGCAAACTTCTAGCAACCTCGAGTTTGTCGAATTGCCGAAGTTGCAAGATTTTTTTTTTTTCCGCAAGCAAGGCTCGGCGTGCATGCTTGCCCGCATAGGCCAACGCTTGGTGTCCCTCGCTTTTTACCCTTTTTTTTTTTTTTTTTAAATGTGCAACCTAGTTGCACATACTTAGCCCTTGTCCCGGTTAGCTTGCAACCAAGCTTCTCTCCCATATATATATATATATATATATATATATATATATATATATATATATATAGAGAGAGAGAGAGAGAGAGAGAGAGAGAGAGAGAGAGAGAGAGAGAGAGAGAGAATATTTAATTATATTAATTTTATTGTTTATTTTTTTAATTATTTATTTCTTATTAAAATTCACATCAAATTAATTTTTTTATATGATTTTTTTTGTTAATAAATTTAGTTTTTTTAATATATGAATTTTGAATTAAAATTTTAGAACATCGGTGTTTTATTTTTTAAAATATATTATTATAATTTATACAATAAATTATGTGTGTATGTGTGTCTTTTTTTCTTTTTCTTTATATATATATATTTTCTATACATTTTTTTAAAAAAGTTTAAACTTTAATTGTATTTTTGATTTAGCCCATTTGTTTTAATTATTTTTATTATTTAAAATCTGTAACTTTAATTTGTCATTTTTTTCAAATTCTCATCTAATTAATTTAAAATTACATTTAATGATAATTTTCATTTATTTTAATATTATTCATTCTTTTTTCATCCAAACTAATTTAAAATTATATAGTCCTCAACTTTTTTATACAATATATATTTTTTAATTTCAATTTTTAATTGTATTGTGGTTTGATCCCATTTTGTTAGTATTTTTTATTGATTATTTTTATTATTTAAAATTTAAAACTTTAATTTGTCATTTTTTAAAAATTCTCATCTATTGAATTTCAAATTATATTAAAAAATTTAAAATAATTTTTTCACCTTTGATTTTATTTATTTTTATATTCACACCATAAAACAGAATATCAAATTAAAATAATTTTATATATTGTATTATGCATGTAGCGTAGCGTGGGTAAAAAATCTAGTATGGTAACTAAAGGAAAATACTTGATCTCTTACCACATTGGGCTGTAATAGCCATAACTTGTCGATTTCTAGATATCGATCGATCCCATCCCCACCTGTCACTAAAGAACTTGAAAATATCACTAAAGAAAATTACTTGATGCCATAAACATCAGTATCACCATCCTTTGGAAAATACAAAGGTGTAAAGGTCGGATCAGGGATGATGGAGGTCCAATGTTTGCCTTCCATACCGACTGAAGATTGAATTTCTGCAGTAATTCAATTTCTATAGCAACTCAATAAATCACTATAGGTCTATACGATCATCAAAGACCAACTAAAACTCAAAACACACTATCAAAATATCAAAAACTATCTTCAGGAAAAATTTAGATAATTACAATATTCCATCAATTGCCTAACAGTCCTAATATAACCCATAAATACTCGTAAAGCTTGAGCAAACAAGATAGTAACCTACAAGCAACACCATTACTTACATAAAAATTAACCCAAAATTCAACTTGGGCCCATTTCTTTCCATTCCCTTGAATTTTCTCAGCAACCAAACGCAACCACACAAAAAACTCGATCTTTTTTATTTTTTCACAAACAAATTCAAAATTGAAAACAACCCAAAGGAAAACACAAATAAATAAACGTAAAGAAGGTCAGAAAACACAAACAAAGTAGAAGCAGATAACATATGGTTTAATTTGGTCACATGCAGTCATATACCTCACAAACAAAACCCTGCAAGTAGAAGAGGTGGACTGGGCACAAAGAAATAGGGTTAGTTCCTGCAAATATGAAGAACCACGTAGGATTAGAAATGCTAAATTACTAATGAGGGCAGATTATTACTAATGAAGAGGAAAAGTAATAGCAAAGAGCATACAAATCGCATAATTTTGAGGGTAGGTTAGTAATTTAGGTAAGAAGCCTTCCACTGCCAAATAAACTAGCCGTTGGATTAAAAAAAAAAAAAACCTACCTTCCTCGTCTTCTTATTTAAGGAAACCCCTAATCTTGAACTCTCACAGTTTCGGTAAATTTCTCTCCGTCTAGTGCCCTCAATTTATTTTCTAGGTGTTTATCAATCATCAACATCTCTCAGAATTTTATTATTCTTTCTGTCAAGTCAAATTGAAAGTGGTGAGTTTGCCATTGCGGATTCAAATTGAGGTTCTTTCCGTTTCTTATCAGGTTTGTTACCTTATCCAAACCAAAAGTCTCTTTATTTCTTGTTTTCAGTATTTTTCTTTCAGATTTTGATTGTTTTTTTTTAATCTATTCACAATCAGAATAAAACAATGGCTTGTTCTTCTTTCTCTACGATTGTTATAGGTTCTTTGGATAAAGAATTATCCAAGAGCACTGTGGGTTTTTCTGGGATTTCAATTGGTCTCAGATTCTAGCCTTTTGACTGTGATCTTGTCATCCATTATCTCTACAAGAAGGTCAAAGGCTTTCCTCTCCCTTCTGATTCCACTGTCCCTTTTTGTGATCTTTATGGCCACCAAGAACCATGGGAGATTTGGGCTGCCTTTGGAGGGATTGACAACGAGAACTTATTCTTCTTTACCAATCTCAAAAAGATGAGCCTAACTACATCTCGAACTAATCGCCAAGTTGGATCATTCGGTGATACATGGCATGATGAAGGACGAAACAAGTGGAGTGAGTGGCTTGGAATTCAGTGGCTTGTCAAGATATTCAACTACAAGAATCCCAAATCCAAGGCTCAGAATGGTGCTTGGATGATGCACGAATATAACCTTGTTGCTAATGATATTGTCAGCACTCCTACTACAACTGTCGCTTGCCATTTAAGGAAGAAGCAACCCAAGAGGAAGAGGCAGTTGGATGATGAAGAAAAAGGTGATGATGATATGGATAAAAATTGCAAGCGCTCCACAGGTGACTAGCTAGCAATGTCAACCACTGTGAGTGTGAACACACCACATAGCCTCCTTCCTGATCACGACAATGATGCAATACTTGAGCAAGAGGCAACCACAAATAGCAACAGTGATAAGCATCTGTCATTGGATGGCGCTGATGCACCTAAAGATCAGCTGCAATATTACAATATGTTGCTTACTGATGACATTCTATCCACTGAGCCTTCTGATTCTAATGATGCTCTTCGACAACGTCAGATAGTTGGTAATGGAGAAGAAATGGCTCTTGATGATGATTATTTCCATTATGTTATTTAAGAACTTTTATGCGAAGAAGCACCTACCCTCTTGCAACTCAGAGATGAGACTTCAAAGTGTTGACTCATTAGGTTTTGTAGAATTGGTTGATTGAAACCAAAAAAGAAAATGCACTAACGAGAACAATGTATATGCATTAGGGCTTAAGCAGAGTATTAGGAGATTTGAGAAACAAAGATGACTCCATAGGGCTACTCACGTTATTACTACTATAAGTCAATCTAAAGATGAAAATTTTAAAAATTCTGAATTATGTTCCTATCAAACTGTAGATTCTATTACCTTTCCTGCACGCGAGTAAAATTCATGAGACTTCGAATTGTCATCCTCTCTAAAAAATTCGCACACTCCAGCAAATATTCTACAACATACAAATCTAAAAATTGATAGCATTGAAATGGAAGGATATATCACCCACCAGGTTTGTCTTAATAACCTTATGGTACTTATCTCTCCTATCACGTTTGGAATCATTGATAAGGACATCGTTTAGGAAAGAAAAAGCAGTAGGTAGTCCAGTATTGTTCATACAAAATTGAAACAAACATCCATGCAATCCAATTTAAATTAACTTTTCAAATATAATTAAGGCTAAATTTTATAGAAATCTCCTTAACTATAAGTCAAACTCATAAATAATTATAACGTTAAACAAAAATTATTTGACTATCATGTATTGTTTCTTGGTTAATAATAAATCTTTCCAATCACTTTTCATACCCTAAACAATTAACATGTAGCCTACTAATCTGACCAATTAATGTCGTTTCTCTCTCCAAAACAATCTCTCCCTCCATCTCTCTCTTCATCATCTTCTCAAAAACGGCTATCTTCTCTTAAAAAAAATTGAAAAATAGGAATTAATAGGGTTTTCTTATTTAAAAAAAATATTATTAGTACAATATATACAGACGACTCATCAGCGTTGATCTTGGCAAACTGAACATCAGTAAATTTGGCAGCCAAAGGCTGGACTGCTGGTTCCATGAGCTTGCAGGACCGACACCAAGATGTCGCGACATCAATCACCATCTGTTATTTGTATAATCCAAAATCCATCAATTCCTTGAAGAGTGCAAAGCTGCAACACCCGATTGACCATCTAAATAAGTATGATAGTATAGATCCCATGATTTCCCTTTTGGCTTGGATTTGAGAGAAAGCAAAAAGAGGAAGATTTTGAGATTTTTTATCTTTAAAAAAAAAAATTTTAAAAAAGGAATTGTCATGTGTCGATATATGTGTGTCTGTGTCAAAAATTGATGCAGTTATCTAAAAATTTAGATAGAATAACAAGATTAAGATGTAAAATAACAATAAATGAACTGAATTAATAAAAATTTAGTAAAAAGACAATTAAAACTAACGAAAGAGTATAAAGATATTGTAAACCATTAACCCTTTCAATTATTAAATCTTGGACATCCCAAGCTATCAAAGCGTAACGCCATGCATAGATAGGGGAAGAATCTTGAGTAATGTACTTGAAATGACATTTTTGCACAATAGATCCACCATGGTAAAAGAGTATATATGCCCTCCACATAATCCTTGAAAGAACTAAAAACAGTTGCATAATTACAAAGGACAAAGACCTTCACCCTCATGGGGGCAGCCATATTGAATCATACGACAAGCAACTAGATTTTAGCCTTGAGGTCAAGCTCAAATTCTTGGTTGTATGCATGGTCGGCTAGATTCTTTTTTAACAAACAAAAACTAACAATGCAAAATTATCATGTAAAATAGGGTTTTGAGAAGAACCTGATAAATGGGATCAGGGACGATGGTCCATGAGCGTTAGAGTTGTTAAGGATAGCACATACATGTATTGAAAATTACATCATATATTTATAGGAAATATACAAGTCTTATTCTAATCTTACAAAGCTTTATATTGCTGGACAATGTCGATCTGAAACCCATAAGATTTCTGAAATCCTTATGCAATTAAGATTTTTAAATCCATGAGAATTGAATTAAGTTAAAAAAACTCTAATTACTTAATTAAATGATATCATATTAAGTATTTATTTAAATAAAAAAATTAAGTAGTTATGTCTATCTTATATACTCAGCAAGGATACTGTAGAGATTAAAAAAATTATATATTTTGCTGCTTTGTGCTAAAGAAACTATCATTTCTTACGTGGAATGGAGTGCTTCAAAATTTGGGGTTAGCAGATGTCTTTTGGTTTGTTCAACGTGTTCCATTTTCAACTTTTTTTTTTCAAAAAAATAAAAACTAAAAACCATTTTATGCATGAACCATGTTAAATGCGCCCTAATACTAATTGCAGTGTAAGGAGGCATTAGTTTTAAGAAAATATTTTACGTGTATAAAAAAATATTTTACATGAAACAAATTTTATGATAGTGGAAATAATGGAAAAATATTATTAGTAACTATTGTCTGTAAATATTTTATGAAATTTCATGATTTAAAAATATTTTTAAATAAATTAATTAAGTTTATATGTTAATTGTATAATATTTTTTTTCACCAACTTCCTATAAAATGCTATGCATAAAATAAACACACAAATTTTAAACAGAATCCACCTATTGCATACCTAAAACGACTTGTCGTTTCAAATTGCCCCCTCACTAAACGAACTGTCGTTTACAGTTCCTAGCTAACCGTATGCTTTGCCAGCAAATAACCGAAGACCAGGATATTTCATGCCATCAAAATACTCAGTTCAGGCACGTCAACCCAAAACCCTAATTCCTCCATTTCATGGTCTGATGATATTCTTAGTGCTTGCTAGCTAGGTGGGGTTCTCATTGTAATTTCTTCGACTAAGGACCTAAATAAGTCAAGAGAATTATCGATAATGTCTTACATTTTAAGTACAATAAATGCAAGACATTAAGTCTCGTTTATTTAAATATTATCTGAATTATCAATACACATCGCGAAGCTCATTTGATTTAATTAATCAGGTTCAAACTTTAAATAAAATTATGTATATTCTTTTGTCAATTATATAGAAATACTTGTCTAAAATTTTGCTTGAAAACTTGTAGTCGTAAAACTTAATTTTAATACTTTAATAAAATACTTTAGATCAAAGTAAGCTGATTTGTCCGTTCAATTTTTTTTCCAATTCCAGTTATCGAAATTCGAATTTAATCATAAAATGAAATAATCATCTTAAACTGATTTAGTTATATATAAATTTCATTTAAAATCGAAATTAATTGTAAACCAATCCATTTAATTAGAAAATATTCAATTTGCCTTTACTTATTTTATCACCAATTAAATTAGTCGATAACTTATAATTGTTATAAAAATATTTTAAATTAGTAAACCAATTAATCAACTCAATTAAAATGATAATTTAGCCCTTTGAAAGATAAATTATGGATTAAATCCTTGGAAAAGCATTTTAAGCTTAGAAAACATCAATTTCAATTATTTGAACTAAAATCAATTAAATTTAATCCATTAAGCTCAATTATTCCTTGCCAATTAAATCCAATTGCTGTCAACTTATTAAATCTAACTTATTCATGTTGATTAAATTAAAGCCATTAAGTCAATTAATTCGTTTAATCCTTTAGCCATTTAATTCTAATTGAACCCAATTTAATTTCCTTATTTAATCTAATTGATCACTTAAACCAATTTTATTAGTCGAACCATCAATTTTATTTATTAAACTTTAATTAAACCAAATCAAACACATCCCTTTATTTAATATTTATAGAATTAGTCTAGAAATATCATTATTTTTACAAAGTTTTAAGTGCTCAACCTAGCACACATTTTAAGTTTAAAAAATAATATAAAAGAGAAGAAAAGGTCCTGTCACTCGGGCCTAATTTATTAAGCATACACACTAGTAAGTCGGTCTTCTTTTGGCAACTTGATGCACATCATTATTTTGGACCTTCTTCACCTACACCACAAGAAATAAATGGTGAGCTAATGCTTAGTAAGTGTATTCATATATGTATGATGCAATGAAATACATTCTCTCGTGACTTTAGAAATATGTTTTACGTGATTGATTGCACCCTACCAAATATAGAAAACTACATCTCGTGAAAATCATGACAAGCACTAGACATGTCTCCTATGAAATTTGTGATTCTCCAATGAATCTTATGACATTCACAAAGAGTTTATATCATATCATTCTCTTTGAGTGGCATGATTAAGCATATAATTGTGATTAGGACATGCCTAGCCATTTTCTTAAAAATTCCCGCACTTGATTATTGTCTTTGAAAATATGAAACATGCTAAAAATCATTTCATGAAATGCATGGTAAACATTACAATTGCATGATCAACTAAATAACACACAAAACCACATCAAGTTAATCCAAGCAATACTAGCCAATTAATCACTATATAAACACCAATTTGAATCATTAATTATTCACAACATGAACACATGTTTCTATAAAACATCTAATATTCATAACATGAACACATGCTTTCATAAATTATCCAATATTCTCCACATAAACACATGCTTCCATATTAACTCATTTCTTTAATCCATTTAAACACCACCTAACATCAATTGATTCATTCATAATTAATTCGATGATTTGGTCAAATTTTACTAACTAAGTAACCAATCTATATTCATCAAACTAACACAATCAACATATTCATTCACACCAATTCAACACATACAAACATATAAACAATCCAATTTTAAGAATTACGATCTAAATCAATAAAAAAGGTATTCTACATCAATTTTCTAATTAAATACTTTTAGACATGGTTATTCCACCTAAAGAGCACCAAATCATGAAATCCATACATCCCTCCAAATTCATCAAGTTGGCCAAAACTTCCAATTCCATTTACCCAAACTTACTTCATCAACCTAACTTCAATTAAGCCAATAAACTTGAATAATCAATCACTTATAAGCATGTTTCCATTAACAATTCATCAAAATAAATCAATTATACCAAAATCTAACAATTTGAACAATCAATCCACAATTTCCAAAACTTCAAAATATGAA